CAAGAGGCCCAGACTTTGTTGGGGGTTGTCCCTCTGGGGGACACAGGGGGCTTCCAGGGGCCCCCTTCTTTTTTTTTTTTTTTTTTTTTTTTTTTTTGTCTTTTTCCGTGTCCGGCAACGGATCGCAACCCTCAGTGTCGCCCCCGTACCGGACCGGGACCGGCAACGGGATCGCAACGCTCGGTGTTGCCCCCGCGCCTCGCTCAGCCAGTGAGCGGGAACTGGTCTGTATGTGGGATCCGAACCCTCGGCGGGAGCGCCTCCACGCTTCCCAAGCGGCGCACCAGCGCAGTGCGCCACCGGGCCGGCCCGTCCTCCTTCTTAGTTCTTCCCAAACCCCCATCTCTGCCACTTCATAGGGGAGCACCAGGCCTGGAGGACATTTATTTGGCAGAGGATGCATAAAGAGCACAGCATAAATGAGACCATGTACCTAGGATCCTGAAGGCCTTGATTCTGGTTATGCCACCAGTTTGCTAGTTCTGCGATCATGGAGAATCACTTCACTGTTCTAGGCCTTGATTCTGTCCTCTGAAATGAGCATTCAGGACTAGATAGCCTCCAGGTCCCTTCTAGCTCTGTGTCTTGGGCTCCATCCTCCTGGTTCCTTGGCCCTCCTCCTGCTGCAGAGAAGGTTCTCACTTGATCTTGGGGCCTGACTCCTCAGCTCTTTCTCTTCCTCGCTAGCCACTGCCCCTGGGGGAAGACAGGCAGAAATCACAGAGATTCCAGAGACTCTGGGGTTCAAAATGGGTGTCTCCTGCTCCGAGGGGGCTTTTGGGGCCCTGCACTCACTGTCCACCCGGAGCAAGGCCAGTAAAGGGAGCAGTCGCGGTCACAGGCTGCCACATGCCTGTGACGTACTTCAGCTGTTATTTGAAGGAACCAGAAAGTCTTGTCTCAGGCCTGCCCTTTTGTGCAGCCTCCCAGCCCCCAGTGGCCACTCTGTGCACCCACTTGCCCCAGCTTCTCAGGCTTCCCCTGACTCAGCCTGCCACAAGGCCACCGGGCCACTGGCCCCTTCCCCCTCTAGGCATGGCAGCTCTGGCACTGGGCCTGGCTTGTTTTCCTCCTCCTCCTCCCCACTCTCCACTTTGAGCCTTGGCTCCACCCCCAACTCTGGTTTTTGGGCCTGTTGCTCCTGCCAGCTGCCGCGGGGGCTGGGCTGAGCCAAAGGGTCCCAGCTGGCCTGTGACTCACCAAGAGGCCTTGCCGGGGTGATCCGGCTTCTTCCCTAGTTCTGCCGTCAAGCCACCAATACTGGAAGGTTTTCTTAAACGAGAATAGGGAGTTCCCAGGCTCCCCCATTCCTTGACTCTCTCACAGCACCGAAGCTCAGCAGCTCCTCTGGGCTCCTGAGCTAATCCCTCCTGCTCCTGCTTTCCCATGGCCAGAAAGCTGCGCAGTAAAGAGAGGGCTGTGGACAAAAGCTGGCGTGAAGGCGGAGGGGCAAGGAATGAGGTGGTGGAGGGATGGCCTGTGGACAGCAGATGACACGCTGTGACCTAGAGAGAAAATAGGAGGGTCCCCTCTCACAGAGACAGCCCGGACTGGAAGGGGTGGGCCGGCTGTGTGAGCTGGGCAGGGTTCTCATGACTGCTTCTCTTGTGTTCCTTTTCAGGTGTCTGCAGCTGGGGTTTCCCCTCAGCCCTCGAGCGGCCATGTCCAACCCCAGTGCCCCACCTCCGTATGAGGACCGCAACCCCCTGTACCCTGGCTCCCCACCCTCTGGGGGCTATGGGCAGCCATCTGTCCTGCCGGGCGGGTACCCTGCCTACCCTGCCTACCCACAACCTGGCTACGGTCACCCTGCTGGCTACCCACAGCCCATGCCCCCCATCCACCCGATGCCCATGAACTACGGTGAGACTTGAAGGGTGGGAGGAGCAGCTTGGAACAGATGAGGCCATCTCCTTTCATTCCTTTTCTCTTCAACTTCCCCTTTAGTTCCTTTTTCTGTCTTCTCTGTTTAGATCTCCCCTTCCCATCTTTGTTACCCCCCCTTTTCCCTGAGCACCTGGCCCCCCAGCCACTTGCTAGCCCCTTTATTCAGCAAGGAGACTGAGTCCATGACACATATCAGAACTTATACATCAGAGGAGAAAGTGGTTGGGTGAAGTAACGAATTCCTAGCGGTTACCTTGGGAGAGCATTTCTGTTTCTCACCAAGGCCGCTGCCACCCCACCTGGACACAATGTCTTCCTTACAAACTGCCTTTGGAACCCGAAGCTCTTTTTTAAAAATATACTTGGTGCTGACAAATCCTCATCCTTTAAGGTAAAATCTGATTTTTGCAAATACCCAAAAGTCATTTGGAATCAAGTTGATAAACATTATGGCAGGTAAATACTATAATTTGGTCAGAAATGAGGTGAGATTAGAATGCAGTGAGACTCTTTTCCTGGGAGGCTTCTGTGTGGACTGTGAAAGCAGTTCCCAAAGAGCATTTGAGGAATGTTTGGAGCCCCCACAGCATTTCTAGAATACTAGATATGTGCACTGGGGTGCAGGTCTTATCTTAGCATGTCACTCACATTTTATAGTCACATATACCGTTGATGTATCTGTTCTCTTCAAGGCCTCATGTTGGCCCCAGCCCCCGAGGCCTGATGCAGATCATGGTCTTTACCCTTTGTTTTCCCCCTCCACACATGTGCTCTGTGCTTTTCTTTTTCTTTTTTGGCAGCTGGCAGGGACAGGGATTGAACCCTGGACCTTGGTGTTCTCAGCACCACATTCTAACCAAGTTAATCACCCAGTCCTGCACTGAGCTTTTTTACTCTCCTTTTCTCGACTGTCCATTCCTGAGTGCCTGCTCTGACCTGGCCGGTTGCTTCAGTTGATGCTCCAAGTCCCGCTGCTACCTGGCTTTCTCACTAGATGGTGACCAGTGACATGGGCTGGGCACATGGGACCCCCCCAACAGATGCTGATGGAATGGCTCACACCTGAGCCCCCTCATGACATGCCAGCTCTGGTCACTCTGAGGGCATCCAGAGGGCCCTGGCTTGGGAGAGGAGTTCTGCATTAAAACACTTGTCTTTTGACTGGAGATGCCTGAGACTCTGTTGGAGACAGTGTCAGGGAGGCTTTGGAATGGAGGCCAAATATCCCAGGTCCCCAATTGGTCATATGTGATCTGTCTGTAGGCCCAGGCCATGGCTATGAAGGGGAGGAGAGAGCAGTAAGTGACAGCTTCGGGCCTGGAGAGTGGGATGACCGGAAAGTCCGACACGCCTTCATCAGAAAGGTGAGATGGGGCTGAGAGGTGGGTGTGCCTGGGGGAGGGGCCCCTGTCCCCAGGGGCCTTCATCCCCGTGTAAAGATGCTGCTGACTTCTGTTTTCTCTAGCCCTGCCCTCTCCTCAAAGGGGTTACCAGCTCCTCTAACCCCAGTGTTTCCCCTCCTTTTGCTCTTCTTTTCTGTAACCTGGGTTTGGGAGGGCAGGTTCAATTGGGAAAGTCTCCTCGGTGGGCTCTGTCAGAGTGTTCTGCCTTCCCCAGACATCTTTCTCCTGTTAGACTGTAAGGCACTTGGAGCCAGAAATGATCACAGCCGCCAGTAACCCACCCTGCCCCCTCACATCTGCACAGTGCCCCTCTTAGAGTAGATAGACGCACGCACATGGCAGACTGAGCTGCTGGGGGTGTGGAGGCTGTGCCGGTAGGCATGGGCTGTGAGCAGGGCAGGTTAGCAGTAAACCAAGGCTGGACATCGACAGGAGGGGAGATGCCAGGGAGCAGGTGGGGGTGGGGCAGGGGAAGAAGTGTGTGTTGCATCTGAGCCAGGTTCCTTCCTCACTGGGGTCACCTCTAGGCCAGGCTGCAGCTGAGAGGGCTCTTGAATGGGAACAAAGAAAAAGGAGATCCTTCGAAATGAGAAAGAAGCCCCTCCCACCACTAGAAGGGCAGGGAAGGGGCAGGGGCTGGTGGTCTTTTGGGCTTCTTGGTCGTGGGGGCTGGCTGCTTCCTGGGAAGAGGACCAGGGTGTGCGATGTGACCCGTCCCCCGCCCCACCGCCTGCGTTCCAGGTTTACACCATCATCTCCGTCCAGCTGCTCATCACGGTGGCCATCATTGCTATCTTCACCTTTGTGTGAGTCTCAAGGCCTTGCCACCCCACTCACCAGCCCTGTGTGGGGTTCAGGGTCACCTGCTGGGAGTGGGGGTTGTGGTGGACCCTGCTCTCAGAGGGACAGTGGGGGTTAGAGAAGATGGAGCCCAGCCACCTGGTGGGCCCTGGCAGGGAGGCAGGGAGGCAGGCAGGCCGTGGTGACTCCTCTCTTGTCCTCCCTGCTCCACAGGGAACCGGTCAGCGCATTCGTGAGGAGAAACGTGGCTGTCTACTACGTGTCCTAGTGAGTGCCTGCTCCTCTGCTCAGCGGTCAAGGAGGGGTGGGCGGCAGTTTGTTCCTAGTTGACCAGCTTTGCTCAGGGCAGGGATCAAAGTGCCTTTTGAGAGGGGCCCTCCAAGTTGCCGGGGCCACTGTGCCATGCTAGCAGTGCACACGGTACCCACATCCCCTTAGCCTGTCTGCTCCGGCCTCCCCAAGCCTCCTTCCTGGCCCAAATCTCTGTGTTAGAGCTCCTCAGTGCCCCTGGCTCAGGCAATCTTGTCCTTGCTCCTGCTCGGGAGCTTCCCCTCAGGCCTCCAGCCCACTGGGCTGTGGGTGCTACTGGGCAGGGGTGGTGGGGGATGAGGGTGGGTTTGGGACTGTAGGCTCCTTCCCATCTCTTTCTCCCCAGTGCTGTGTTCATTGTCACCTACTTGACCCTCGCCTGCTGCCAGGGACCCAGGTGAGTCCCAGAGACTTAGACGATGAGAAAGGATGGCAGGGGGTGGGACAGGGGCCAAGTATTTGGGGGAAGAAAAGGGATTCCTTATAGCAGTTGAATGGCAGCTTACAAGAGATAATGATGAGGATGATGATGGCAGTTTTGTTCAGTTGTGTACAGAGTACTGTGTGTCTGTGAGATCTAGCTATCGTTCTTAACAGCAACACTGCAAGACATGTAGCTTTTTTTTGGCATCTGGCTGGTACAGGGATCGAACCGTGGACCTAGGTGTTCCCAGCACCATGCTCTAATCAACTACGCTAACTGGCCAGCCAACATATGTAGCATTTTAACCACTTAACAAGTAGGAAGAACCCAAGGCTCAAAGAGGCTGAGTAATTTTCTCCTAGTCAGTGTAAGAGCTGCAAATGAGTCTTGGTCTTTGTGGCCCCACAGCAGAGGTCTGTCCCACTGCCCCATGTTGTCCCTGCATAGGACACCTGAGCAGGTACCAGAGGCCATGCCAGCCTCCCCTCCCTGGACTTAAGGCTTAATGCTCAGGCACAGGAGCCTCTAATACCTGACCAGCCCCACATCACCTCATCAGCTTTTCTCTTTCCCTTCAGACGCCGTTTCCCATGGAATATCATCCTGCTGACCCTCTTTGTAAGTCTGGAAGGGTAGCAGGAGAGTGGGGAGACGGTTTAAGGGCAGGCTGGTCCCAGGGAAAAGATGGGAACACCACTGTGGAAGGATGTCCCTGTCTCCCCCACCTTACCCTGACTGTCTGCTCTTGGCCTCCTCTGTGGCTGCCTTTTTCCAACTCAGTCACATCTACCCCAAGTTCTGGCAGGCCACTATGGCTGTTCCCCCAGGGCCCTGCCTTTCTTTTTAATGTTTTACTCTTATCTCTCTCCTTCCCTCAGACTTTTGCCATGGGCTTCATGACAGGCACCATTTCCAGGTACATTCAGGACAAACTACCACACTCTTGGGAAGTATGTATTGTGGGGAGTGGGCTGGCAGTCATGTGCATGGGGGGTTCTGGGCAGGATCTTTCTGGAGCGGTGATCTTGAAGTCATCCATACATGCCTTATGCCTCTGGCCTCTCTTAATTCCTTCTTCCCCCCAGTATGTACCAAACCAAAGCCGTCATCATTGCAATGATCATCACCGCTGTGGTGTCCATTTCAGTTACCATCTTCTGCTTTCAGACCAAGGTGAGGGCATGGATGGCTTTTCCCTAGCCACCCCACCTCTTATCTTATACAGACTCAGCCCTTTGGGCTTGGCACTTGGGCAGGCCTGGGAGGGCCCAGACACTATACTCCGGGGACTTCCCTTAGAGACCTAATCTCTTTCCCCTCATATCTGCATCTACAAAACTGCTTCCTGTGTCTGTCCTTAGAATGTTATGGTCACTACTATGCCCCTTAGGAGGCAGCATTGGGAGTCCCCAGCAGGGGAGGCAGGTCCAGTCTGGCTGAGCTGCTCTTCGTGGCAGTCGTCTGACAGGAACACCCTTTTCCCCCTTCTCCCTTCCTGGCAGGTGGACTTCACCTCGTGCACAGGTCTCTTCTGTGTCCTGGGAATTGTGCTGATGGTGACTGGGATTGTCACTGGCATTGTGCTGTACTTCAAATATGTGAGTGTCCCAGAAGAGCTGTGGTTAGTGAACCTAGTGCCCAGGGCAGACTTTCTTTTTTTTTTTTTTTAAAAGATGACCGGTAAGGGGATCTCAACCCTTGGCTTGGTGCTATCAGCACCACGCTCAGCCAGTGAGCAAACCGGCCATCCCTATATGGGATCTGAACCCGCGGCCTTGGTGCTATCAGCACCGCACTCTACCGAGTGAGCCACAGGCCGGCCCCAGGGCAGACTTTCTGTATAGCATGGTGTAGCAGGCCCGCTCCTGGGCTCCAAAGTCCTCTGTGCAGGCTCTGGCCTCCAGAACTGCTCGACTGGCTAGCAAAGGTACCAACACAGAAGTGCTATTCTTTGGGTTAGAGTATAATCTCTATTTGGGGACAGATGCCCTTAGGAGCCACAGCACCTGAACCCCGGGACAGCATCACTGAATTCCAGTGGGAAGTAGTAGATTAAATATGTCTGACAGTTGAGAACAGGTTCTAGGAGGCCGACCAGGAAAGGACCGAGAAGATGGGCTTGGGTGGAAGGGACCTTAGGGACCACTGGATCCAATTCCTTCCTTTACTCCAGTCAGTTGGGGACAGCAGGAGGCCCCTAGGCTGAGGGGAGAACAGTGCTGAAAGGGGAAGGCTGTGAACGAGGGCCGCCTGCCCACTTCACCACCCTTCTGTGTGGAGGCCGGCCCCACCCTTCTGTGGATGGGCCCCCGCAGGAGCATCCGATGGGGCTGCCTGCAGGTGCTCCTTGATTCTGATACTCATCAGGGTGGCTGCAGGCTCCTTCCCAGGCTGGGCTGCAGGGGCCACTCTATTGAGTGCTGACCATGATTGGGGGAGACGATGGGGCTGTTCAACCAGTGCTTGCCAGGCCTGCCCCTCCAGAGCTGTAGCTCAGCAGCCGTCTTTCTTCCACCTCTGCACCTTGATTAACTTTGGGCATTGGTTTTATATGGCCATTGTAGGACGGCTTCTGCTTTCTCTGCCGAATATATCATTATTCTTAATTTCTTAAAGGATCTAGGAAGGCAGAAGTAGTCCTTTCAGGGCCGGCCTGTGGCTCACTTGGGAGAGTGTGGTGCTGATAAAACCAAGGCCACGGGTTCGGATCTCTATATAGGGATGGCTTGTTAGCTCACTTCGGTGAGTGTGGTGCTGACAGCACCAAGTCAAGCGTTAAGATCCCCTTACCGGTCATCTTAAAAAAAAAAAAAAGTAGTCCTTTCATGGACAGCTAGCTTCCTGGGTCTACCCACTCTAACACGAGTCCCAGGGGGAAGCTGGGTCCCCAGGGCCTGCCTTGGTCCATGCATTGCTAAGACTTGCCTATTTGCCACGATTTGCTAATGCCATCCCCTGTACCCCGCTTCCCCAGATTTACTGGCTGCACATGGTCTATGCTGCTCTGGGAGCCATTTGTTTCACCCTGGTAAGTGCCTGCCCACCTCTAGGAAGGGATACTGAAGGGAGGGAAGGAACTGAGGGAATAAAGTGTGAATTTAGGCTGCTTGGGAGGCATGAAGTGGGGCCACAGCTGGCCTTTCCTCTCCCTACTGTCAAGAGGTTCCACCGACTTTCTGTTTGTTCTGCCATCTTTTGTTCACACTGCCTGCCATTAGAACATTCAGTATCACAGGCGACGGTGTATCCGTCTCCTTTTCTAGTTGTGAACTGCTTGAAAGTAAAGGCCATGTGTTAAGCTGTTTATTAATGTGTCCCCTAAGCATACTGCATGGCACACAGGCTCCCAGGACAAATCTGCTGGCCAGAAGTGAGCTCTGGACAACGAGCCCCTGGGTTCTCACTTCTGGCTTCCCTGTCCCTGCAGTTTCTGGCCTATGACACACAGCTGGTTCTGGGGAACCGGAAACACACCATCAGCCCAGAGGACTACATCACTGGTGCCCTGCAGATTTATACAGACATCATCTACATCTTCACCTTTGTGCTGCAGCTGGTGGGAGATCGCAATTAAAGAGCGTCCCCCCTGTTCTAACCCACCCTGGGCTTTCCCTTCCCTGGAGGGCTGAGCCTTGTGACTGGGTTCTGCACCCCAGGCCCCTTTCCTTCCCCTCCAGTAATATGCCCAGTTTCCTTTCTGTCCTGGGGAGGGGTGGTCTCTCTGGCTGTGGATGTGTAGGCACCTGGTGGGGATGGAGGAGCTGGGGACTAATTTTTGCCCTTGGTGACCTTGGCAGGGACTAGGCTGATGATGTGTGTTTACCCCTCTATCCACTACATGGCACCAAATTGTTAACAGCTGGGATGGGGGGGTGGGGGGAGAAGTGAAAAGAGCCTACTCTGTGGTTAAGGGAATATGAAAGGTAGAAGTGACTTTAAGGTGACGAGATTTCCCCTCCCACCTCTGCCACAGGCTTCTAGGCTAGGTAGCTGGAGCTATTTACTTTCCCAACCCCCAGCAAAGCCAGATAGCTTTGTCCCCAGCTTCCTGGACTCATAGGCCATTATCCTATACTCTTTGGCTTGGCACCTTTTAGCTCAGGAAGGTAGAAGAGATCTGTGCCCATGGGTCTCTCCACTTCAATCCCTTCTTGTTTCAATGATGTGTATATATTGTTTATCTGAATTAGGGGTGGGGGAGGAAGAAGAGACTGAGCAAAGTAAAGTTCAGGGGCCAAAATGGAGCAGCATCTACCCTGGGATTCCTTCTGGCTTGTGACGGTGGTAGAGAGAAAAGGCTGTGTGTAGCCATTTGGTCCCCATTCTCCAAAGCCGCTTGGGGCCTCCCTGGGTGCTTCTGAGATCTCTGGTCAGAGGGACTTCTTGTTTCCTGTGCTCAGGCCACTCAGAGCAGAAAGTGAGGGGCAAAGGTCAGGATATGGGCTGGTGTGTAGAATCATAAATGTGGCCAGGAAGTAACCAGGATGAAGAGAGACTGGGGGCGGGGGGCAGGGAAAATGCCTTGGGGTCCCCCATGTGGTCAGAGATAGTGAAGCCTACTGTGGTGCCCAAGAAGACTTCTGTGTTCTTTCCTTTGGCTAACCCAGGGAGGGCCCTGAGAGGAAGGTGACTCTCTCTGTTCTTAACTCATGTTGGGTGGTTTTTGACTCCAGCCCCATCTCTCCAGCCAGCCACTGCTTTCTTTGTAATACCAAGTGCCTCAAGCTGGAATGGGGAGGGGGAGAAGGGTCAATCTGTTGGGTGGGGGGAAATCAAATCAGTTCAAGGGTACAGGACTTCTCTATGAAGTACTTGATCCTAAATATATCACACAAAGGGATACAACTAGAAATGTAATAAAGTTTTATGTTTAGAAGTTAAAACCCTGTATATGGCTCTGGTTTTCTTTACTTGAAGGGATTAGCTCTGGGAGTCTCTGGCCCTGCCGAGAGCATCCACTTTCTACCTCCGCATCTGTCTTGGTCTTTCCCACCTTTTCTAGGGTAACCAAATGCACTTTACCGCAGCACTTCTTGGGGGTGGATGCAATAGGCTGCTGAAGGCTCGGCAGTCAGCTGGGGGAAAGGGGAGTTCAACCCTGCAATACTGGATCTGGAAGGCACTGCTTGGGGCCGTAGTGCTTTGCCTCTTTTGTGCCATGACCCTTTACAAAAGCCCACAGGAGCTATGAGGGGTCTTCAAAAAGTTCACAGAAAGATCTGTATTTTTCAAACCCATTTTTCCCCAAACTTTGTGAAGTACCTTCGTATTAACTCTCTTCCCCACAAAGCTGTACATATACATACAATTTTGCAGATGGGGTGAGGGGATGGACTGCAGGTTCAGGTTTAGAACTCCTGTCTTAGAAATCACCAGCTCAGGGGCCGGCCCGGTGGCGCACTGGATAGTGCGCCGCTTGGGAAGCGCGGCAGCGCTCCCGCCCGAGGGTTCGGATCCCACATACAGACCGGTTCCCGCTCACTGGCTGAGCGAGGCGCGGGAGCAACACCGAGGGTTGCAATCCCGTTGCCGGTCCCCGGTCCGGTACGGGGGCAACACTGAGGGTTGCGATCCGTTGCCGGACATGGAAAAAAGACAAAAAGACAAAAAAAAAAAAAAAAAAAAACCCCAAGCCCATGGGGCCGGCCCGGCGCCACCCCGCTCAGAGGGGGGC